TCTGTGATACCTTAATACGCTGCCTATTGAAGTACATGTGGACAATTTGTCATGTAAAAGAAAAATTGTCCCAAATTTGGTCTGGAGTAGAACCTTTGTGTGATGTAATTCGTAACCTTCCATTGGGAAGAAATGAACATTCCTTACAAAATGCTTAAACGATTTCCTGGTGAGCTTTAATGGAATTAAGCCCTGATCTGGGAAACCAGCCACCCTCCCAGCTGACATTCAGACAGGAGTCTAGTGGCTATTTATGACTCTTTGTATCTAGTCTAACGATGATTTAACCATTCTCTTTTCTTACCAGGAGTATATACTTGAGTTGGCTGCTTCGAAGCCATTTTCTTTACAGCACAACCGTAATAAAATTTTGACATAAATAAGTTGTCTGAAAACTTTTTTGACTTTTAATTTTGAACAACTTTTAAATTTATAGAAAAATTGCAAATATAGTACAGGGGATTTCCATACATTTGCTCACCCAGGTCCCACCACTGATAATGTTACACCTAACTATACAGCACAATTATCAGAACGAGAAAATTAACCTTAGTACAATACTAACCACAGATTTATTTGGATTTTGCAGTTGAAATCTTTTTAAAGTGAAGATTCCAAAGTCATAATTAGCTCATCTTAAATTTTATGTAATAAGCTTTCAATAAGGGATTTAGGTCTTCCAAGTAAATGTATGCATTTTATGCATTTTAACTATGACTTTTAAAAGCCAAACCTCACCCCTTTGCTTTTTGTCTGATTAAGCAGCCTCCAACATTTTCCAGTGTGACTGAACCCAATTAAGACTTTTATTATGAAGTATTTAAAATATACATATATCAGCATTTATGTAAAGTCACTTATTAGTAATACAAAAAATACTCAAATATTCCCAACAATGCACCATAAAATCAATCGATAACATTTAGGGTATTTATAGATTTATCCAACCTTTGCAATGATTCTGGGCACCTTCTCCCTGGAGCGTGAGGCTCACAGGTTGGGAACCACTGGTAAACCCATAATAGATGCAAACGGTAAGAAATTTCTATGTAAAGGGGCCACTGGGGGTTAGACAGTGCCATGTAGCTGACTTCTCCCAAGTTCCCCGGGGGAGACAGTAGCATCCCTTTAACTGCCTAACTGGGAGGTTACTTCTTGCCCCAGAAATGGCTTCTTGGGACCCCAGAATAGGAAGTAGAGAGAGTCCCAAGCTTGCAGGAGGACACAAAAAATGTCAAGACATGTGGGAAGAGGATAGGGATAAGCATGAGAGAGGTGAACCCATCTGGGGGTGGTGAGCTTTCACTGGAGTCAGAATAAGGCAGGGATTTGGGGTTTAAAGTTAAGCAAAGAAGGAGCTCTAACCCCAGTGACATCACTTCCTGTCTATTCTATCTCGGGCAAATTACATCTCTGAGCCTCGGGTGCCTCATCTGCAACATGGGCAGAACAAAATACCTCCTTCGTGGGGCTGTGCCGTAACACTTAACACGGAACATGACATATATTCAAACAAACAAACAAAAAGAGAGAGCTGCTGGTAGTACTAGTACTACTAACTAGTAGTTACTAGTAGTTAGTAGTAGTACTAGCAGCAGCGGCAGCCCCAACTTCAGCAATACTAATATAAACGAAGAGAGAGAATATACAACACAATAGCTCTGAAGGTGGGGGAGGGGCACTAAAACAGATCCCGGTGGGCTCCAGGGAGCAAGAAGGCAGAGAGAACTGCATTGTGGGATGCCACATGATGGAGAAGCCATAGGGTGAGGATGGCACCAAGATAGGGACCTACATCCCACCCCATCTACTAACTCATCTACTAGAAGTCACCTCATCTCCCTCCCCCAATGCTTGGCTGCTTCCTCCTTCTCTGACAACAGCAGGTTGGTGGGTGTGGAGCTCGCTGGAAATATTCCATCCCCAGAACTTGAGACCAGGGGAAGCCATTTTATGGTTCCTCAAACCAGCCCAGTGAAAAGGCCCCAGGCCGAGGCCTACACAAAGAGGACTGTGGGAGAAGGAACCCCCTTCCCCACCCCTGCCCAGCACTGAAGTTGGCCACAGAGACCCCAGACTCAGATTGAGGGTAGACAAGGCTTTATTGGCTTAGTTCCAGGCGTGTGGCATCAGCGTGGGGCTCTCAGCTGCTCCTGGGGTCTGCTTCATCCGTCTTCTCTTGGTGGGTCTCCAGGGCCCTGTGAGTCTGTCGCAGCTGCTTTGCTTCCTCCCAGTTCTCCCTTCATTAGGGGCCATCCTCTGTGGCAGATCCCACTCATGGAGTCAAAGGGGCTCAGGACTCCTGTAGGGGTCTGAGGAAGAAGGATTGGGTGGCAGCATCTCATCCTGGGCCACACAGTTTGTCCAATGGGAGAGAAAACAGGCCTGTGATTATGTGCCAGCCCTGTTGGGGGAAGGGGCTTCTCCATCCATGGTTAGGTGGCTTTGAAGGGGTGATAGATTTGTTGGCTGCGGTTGGTCAGGCTGTGGCTCTGGTGGTTCTGGTGGCTTAGATAACCATGGTGCCCATGACCATGGCCATGCAAGGTGTGTGTGTGGTTCATGCCAGCTACAGTGGTTTCCCGCTGAGTGAAGAAATTGCCTTTTAGCTTTATCTCCACTTCCTCAAGGGCCCTCAGCTCCTCCTGGTTGATGTCGTTGGACTCCAGGTGGCCGTTGTTCTGGTAAACCGTGGCGCGCTGCAACATGGAGTTAGCCAGTTGCCGTCCCTTGGTGTCAATCTCCTTGGCACAAGCAGCCACAGCGGCCCATGTTGCCTCATTCGTGGACGAGGATTTTCCAGACTCTTTGTGGGTCTCTTTTACCACTGAGGATCCAGACATCTTCTGCTTGCTGGTGAAGGACTCCCGGTGAAGAGCTGTGCCCGCTTCTCCTTGCCTCGTGCTGAAGGTCTCCACGCGAACTGTGGTGCTGGCTTCTCCGCTGCCACTCTCGGGCTGGGGAGCAGCCATACTGCTGGCAGCGGTGGGGGTGCTGCCAGTTTCCAGCTTCTCTTCGGAAAGGCGGCTAAAGTGAGATTTGATCCAGCTCTCATTCTGTGCATCGTGGAATTCTTGTGGCCCGAGCTCATCTTGTGGAGACTCATGGACTATCTTCCTTCTCCTCCTCTGAAACCACAGCATGAGGCCTCCACCTCCAAGTAAGAGGGCAGTCCCCAGCACCACCTTGCATGATGGTTGCTGGATGAGCTCCAAGAAGGTCTCCAGGACCCTACACCAGGCAGGCAGAGCTAAGAGCACACTGGGAGTGGGGGAGCCTGGATGTTATGTTTCATGCTTGAAAGGGCAGGCTCCCCGAGGGTGTCTGGCAGGCAGGCCTCCCACTGCACCCTCTCTGAGAGGCCCTTCCCGCCTCAGCAATGAACCCCATTGTGAGGAAGGTGGTTGAGGGGCGGGGTGGGGGAGAGGCCACCGCATTGCTCATGTCTAGCCTAGCAGGCATCACCTGAGGCCAAGGTTCTGTCTCCTACCCTAACAGCTGTCCTCAAGGTCAATGGGAGGGCAGCTTCTCCAGCTCTGAGTCCCTTCTGCCTTCTGCTTGTGACCCATCCTGCAACTCAGTCCTTCTTATCTTCCAGTCTTTGGTTTCTCTTCTTTGCCATCTAGTGGCTCCCATGGGGCAGAGGTTACAGGGTCAGGCTGGCCAAGGCTGAAGGACCCCCTTGGCTGGGCATGCATCCATTCCTGGCCACGTGAGATTGCTGTCTCCCTCCATCCAGGACCTACACCTGCTGCCAGCTGAACACATTTTATCCCCACTTGTAGCCATCAGCGCCATTACAGAGCAAGGTCCAAGAGGAAAAGGGGCCCAGCAAGGAGCTTATTCTAGAATAACATGAGGTCATAACTGGGGTGACACGAACAGGATTTAGAAGGCAGAGAGGATAGGACAAGAGACGTCACCAGGTCTCAGATTCCTGGGGCCATCCAGGGTGAGGGCTGCTACCTCTTTCCTTGGTGATACAACTACGAACCCAGATTTGCCATCACCACCCACCCTACTCCTGGAAATGAGCACAGCGCAGGTTGCGAATGGGTGAGCCCGCTGGCCAGGTTCTCCGTAGGTGCAGACAGCTGACATCCTGGCCCACAATCCCCAGTTATACTCAGGGCCTCCAGGCATGTAAACAAGCTTGGGCCACTCTATTTTTTCACCCAGAGGCATCTAACACATTTTTTTAAATAAAGAAATGCCAAAATAGGGTTGTAAAAATTGTGATATTTTAAATAAACCCACGAGATACAAGCTTTAAGTTCTATAGGGAACATCACCTCCGCAGATCAGCTGGAGTATCTCTGTAGTCCAATAATCTCATTTGGAAATAACAATTCAAAGTTCATCTCTGAGGTTGCAGGAGTGAGTTCAGGGCCAAATGGCCCCTCTGCAGCAACTCCACCTTTCAGTCTCTAGTTACAACTTTTCTTTTAAAAGAATATTCTTTATTCAAATAATCAGTACAAATTAACAGTGAAATAAGATAAAAGAGGAACACGATTTCAGACAATGCCTTCCGGAACAATCTCTAACTGTTCACTGATTCATCAAGGGCAGGTTCCCGCCTCCTCTTTGGAGGTCCTTTAACTTGTTGCAGGAGGTCCTGGCAATGTGATATGTGATGGTTCCCTCCTCTGCCCCTGAGTATTGGGCCACAAAGCAGGGCCAGCATCACGCAAGAGAAACACAGATTTTAGACCTAGAGCGGCTTGCTGCTCCCTTCGTGGGCATTCTGGCTATGTCCTGGGAGAAGTGACAGGACCCTCTGGCTCTGTGTTCTCTGTGGCAGGGCCTCGTGTTTGAGCTTCTTGGGAGAAATGCATTGAACCCTGTGGCTCAGTTCCCATGTAAAATGAGGAAACTAGATTAGAGAGTTTCAGTGAAACTCTCTGAAGAAACTAGATTAGAGAGTTTCTCCAAGGTTACTGTAACTGGCAGAACAAGTTACAGTCTTCTAACTCCAGACGCTGGACTCTATCTAAGTAGCCCACTGCCCCCCAACATGTATGTAGGGGTAAGGGAGAGATGAGGTAGAAGCAGCTTCCTGCGCTTGTTGCATGGGAGATATACTAGCAGGCATGTGTGACCCATGGCCTATCAAATCCACTGCAGGGGCTCCCAGGTGTCATCATGTCCTCTGCGGGGGCAGGGAGGGGGATCTAAAGAATCTGGAGATCTCTGTGGATTCTCTGGGTGGCAGGCAGACATCAGATGCAGAGTCCACCTTCCTAACCCCTGCACTAGGATGTCCTTAAATCTGGAAGGTAAAGCAGAGTCTTCTCGCTTCCTTGGAAACTCCTTGGAGATTCAAGGAGTTTCTCACTTCACTTCAAGAGAACCAGGCCTCGGTCCAGACTTTCGGGCACCAGTGAGCTGAGCCCCAGCAGAAAATTACTTAGGGTTTGTGTCACTGCTCAATGCGGGTGTCTACAGGGCATTCTTAGTCCTCTAAGGAAGGGTCACATCACCTCAGCACTGAGATATGAATGGGCTCTCAGGCCAGCAGCCACTGTCCCCAAGCAGTTTTGCTCACAGTGCCAATCGTATTGTCATTCTAATAATTGTTATCATTGGAGTCAATACCTTCCCATGTACCACTCTTTATAATTTACAGCATGCTTTCACTTGCATTTTTCCAGATTTTTCTCCCAACCATCCTAGGAGATGAGTATCATTATTCCCATGTGTCAGACAGGGAGACTGAGGTTTAGAGATGCTTTCTCCCAGCTAGGTCAGTGGCAGAGCTGTTATATGAGTCAGAGTCCACGTTTTTACCTGCTCCACTCACAGCCTCAGTCGGAGCCACTCCTCTCCCAAAGCTCGTGTCGACCGGACTCTTGAAATCATCTGGTCTAGCAACTCAGCAGTCAGTGCATTGGGGTGAAACTGAGCACGACCATGTAGTTCAAATCCCAGCTCAGCCATATACTAGTGACTTTGGGCAAGTGACCACATAACTCTGAGCCTCATCTGTGAGATGGGGTTATTCAGAGTACTGCCTCTGGGAACTGCCTTAAGTAATGGATCAGTGTGGGCAGAGCAGGATGGGAGGAATTTGTCACTTCTTCTACCTTCATTTATTTTGCTTGTGGCTGTGTTGTATGTTGAGTGTCACGAATATGGTCTGGTTCCTGACCGCAGAGAGGGGAGACCCATGTGTAAAGAAGAAAATGAGTCTGAGGATCCAGAACAGAAATTAATTCTGCCAAGGGAGGTTTCTGCCAGAAGAAAGAATACAGACAAAGCTTTGAGGGAGATGAGCCTGCTGGTTAGGCTGCCACATGACACCCTGGCTGCCCTCACACCTGTAGAGTGCCTGGTTGACAAGGACTTTTACAAACCAGTATCTAGTTTGATCCCCACAATAATTCCAGGAGCTAAGAAGGCACTTTAGTAATTTACAACTGGGGAAACTGAGGCAGGAGAGATTCCGTCAAGGTCACAAGCCAGCAAGGAGCTTCCCACCTATCTCCTGACTCTAGACCAGTGCCCACTGTTCCCCTCCCATAATAAAATGATCCCGGGGTACCCCACTGTCCCTTAGCAGCTCGACGAAGCTTGTGTACCATCCTCTTGGTGTCTGGTTGAAGAGACTGGGGTTATTCACATTTCCCTTGACCCCCACAGTGGACAGGCCCACTTACCTCGAAAGGGGAAGGTGCCCAGTTTGTGCAGATTCTCCTCCAGTTTCCCATAATCCACCTCTGCAGTGGCAGTAAATGGGGTAGTCACGGGGGGATAGATGCCTGAGATGTCCACCTTTTTCCCTTTCCTTGGAACCTGTCCCCCTACATTCCTAGACAAGCCCCTGCTCAGCCCCTGCCTCACAGAGGACCAGACTCGGAGGCCCAGCATCATTACAGGAAGCCTGAGGCCCAGCTAGTTTCTGCCCCTGAGGGACGCTGAGTTTGGATTCTTTCTTACTCCTGTTAATGATCAATGTGTTCAGTTAAAAATTTGCTGTCCCTTGACTTGTTGGCCCTGGGGCAGGCTGGACTGGGTGTCCCCAGGGTGAAAGGGTAGGCTTATAGGCCCAAGGCAGGGAACGTCCTCTTTCCCCTGGGGAGTGGCTGAAGAAAGGCCACAACCCAGTGTCCGTCTGGCCAGACAGAACGTGGTTCCTGGGATCTCAACGCTAAAGGGTGTCTCCACTGAGGCCTAGGCCCTCCTCCCACAATTCCCAGCCCTGAAGCCAGGAGCCCTGCCAGCTCTGCTTGGCAGTTCTGTGGTTGGTTGGATGAGCTGATTGGCTGAGCCAGCCCTGCCCCTGCCCTGTGGGAGGCGTGGCAGGTCTGGGTAAGACACTGCCTGGGATCTGCAGCCCCACTTCCCTACCAGGCTGCCCCTGCCAAGGCTGCCATGTGACAGGTCTGTGCTAGCCACACATAGCCCCACAGGGCAGCAGTCACCAGGAAGGGGGCCCAGGACGAGTGCATGGCAAAGCTGATCCAGGCTGGGGCTTGGGAGGAGGGGTAGTAGGGAGAAGGGGTGGCAGGGAAGAGACTTTGGTAGGAAATGCAGCAGGGCTGGCTCAAGGGGCCAAAGGGCTCTAAGTCCCCCTCTTCCCTGAGCTCATTTTTTCATTCCTAAATATTTCAGACACAAATAGAAACAAAGACACATAGCAAAATTACTTTTTTTATTGTGGTAGCTTGTGGGGGGCTCCTGGGTCTTTTACAGAGGAATAGCTCACGTCTGGGGCCATTTTTATGACCTTCCAGCTATAAGCAAGGGACAGGCCAGGTGCAGAGCTGGGCTGGGGCAGAAGTTTACTGGGCTGGCACAGGTGGGGGAGTCTCCAGCCCACTCTCAGCAGCCCCCTCCAGCCCGTTCTGCTCTGACCCTGGCTCGGGGTGCTCCAGAGCACTCCGGGTGTCAGCTTGCCACAGCTGCACCAGGTCCGTGGGGGTCTTTCCTGCCTGGGGGAACCAAGAGGAGGTCCGGTCACTGTTCAGAAGTCTGTACCAGCAGGTGCCCTCATCTATACCCAACAGGGAGCAATTGGCGATATCTGGAGACATTCTGGTTATCACACAGTGGGTAGGAGTAGAGGTGGGTAGTACTGACATCTCGAGTAGAGACCAGGTATGCTGCTTAAACATCCTATGATGCACAGACAGCCCCCACGACAAAGAATTATCCAGCCCCAAATGTCAGTAATGTCGAGGTTGAGAAGCCTTCATCTACACCCTCCCCAGATCACCCTCACTTTCCTTTGTCCTCTTAATCTTTCTTGAGTCAGGGAGACTCCCTGTCCTGCTCCTTTCCTCCCTTTTGTGATTCCTCCGGGCTCAAAGAAGATCTTGGACTGGAGACATGGGATCCTAAGAGAACTCAAGGACCACCAGGAACCAACACGGTATGCTAGGAAAGGTCATGATAACCAAGTGCTCAGGTTCTTTCCAGCTCTGTCCCTCCATGATCCAGGCCTCCCTGGGCCTGGATATTAGGATGCCTTTTGGTCTATTTCGGGGCCTTTGGTAAGTCCCCCAACCATCCCTCCAAGCTGTTTCTCTGTACTTGTACTCTGGACAAGTATAGAGAGAGCTGGGAATGTGAGTGGGCCCCAAATCCCCAAGGTCCCAGAGAGACCCTCCACTATGAAAGTGCTCCAAGGGCGGGCAGGCTAAGTTTTGTTCAATTCTACATTTCTTCTAACTGCCCGGCACAGGGCCAGGTTGAACAGTGCACACTGATTACTGAATCAGGGAAAGAATGAACTTACCAGGTTCTTGGTCATCATGTCAGCCCCGTGTAAGAGTAGCATTTTGATGATTTTGTAGCGGTTGAGCCTCACGGCGTCATGCAGGGCACTGTCCCCTTCCTAGAGCCAGTGTGACACTCAGCATGACCCATGTAGATATGTGGGAGCCCTCAGGATGCTTGCATTCCTATGGTGGGGCTGGACAGGAGGGAACCCAACACTCACTCTGTCTTTGGCATTGATGTCCAAACCCAGGGATAGAAAGTGCTCCACAATCTCCACGCGTCCTGTTCGGACTGCCACATGCAGGGGAGTACTCAGCAGCTGGGTGGAGAGGAAGCAGGAACTGCTGGCTGAAGGGGCCTGGACTGTGGTGCCTCTGGGAGTGGAGCTGTCTTAACTACAACCTTATCCCTTCCCTAAGTCCTAGTGCTATGGCCTGAGCCCTGGAGGGACAGGGAATGCTACAATGTCCCACCATCTCATTCAATGGTCTAACTCTGAATCATTACATGCCGCCTCCTCTGGGAAGCCTTCTATGATTCCTTTCTCACCTAGCTGTGGGCAACTGCTCACTCCTCTGCCCTTCTTTTAATAATTATAATAGATGTCATTTATTGAGAGATAACTATGTAATGGGCATGGCAAAAAGCTTATAAAACATTATCAGCCTTATGTTGAATAAATAATTTATATACATTTTCCCACCTAATCTATATAAGAACTCTGCAAGACATTTTACAGATGAACAACAGAGGCTCAGAGTCCATCACTTGCTCAAGGTCACATGAATGGATAAATAAAAAATGGTAGATGAATCAATAAATGAACAGATAAATAAATGAATGGATGGATGAATGGATAGATGGATGGATGGATAGACAGATAGATGAAGGATGAGGAATGATTGCATGGATGAACAAATCCTGCATCTTTTGGGTGGTCCCAAAACCCCCAAGATAGTGGATCTCTTCTCCTCCCCTCTCCCCTGCTCTTCCTGCTCCTATCCCCAAAATGGTGGTCTGCAAGGGTCTGTAGTTGGTGGAAGGGACACATCCCTGGGCTCTGCAGCCACTCCAGAAACCAGACTAGCTCACTACCTTTCTATCTTCCCGAAATTTTCTGCCCTCTGCCTCCCACTCACTATCCGCAGCCACCCCAACATCTGTGAGCATTATTGCCTCACCTTGTCTCTCATATTGGTGTCTGCGCCTCGGCTTTGCAGGAGTTTTACCACCTCCAAGTGGCCCCCGCGGCAGGCCCAATGCATGGCTGTGCAGTCCAGCTGGAAGGGAAGGATGAGGCCTAATTACAGAGCTTCAGGGAGAAAAATGTCCTGGAGGAAAGGACCCCAGCCAAGAGGGCAGGGAGCTATCCAGGGGAAGGGTACAAGGAAGGGACAGGGCACTCCAGTGCCCGGGCAATAGATCAAATAAATAGAGCATAAGAACCCTTGCGGTCCATCTAGTTCAAGTCAGATTTAGAGGAAGCTCTGGGAGGATATGGGGCCTGCCCAAGCTCATACATCCCACTAGAGGTGGGAGCAGGGGGGAGGGCCTGGCCCCTGAGGCAGCATATCTGTGTTCCAGGTTGGCAGAGAGAGGAGTTATTGGTGCTGGACTCACCTCTCCCATCCCATACCTGCCCTTGTGCTCACCCGATCCTGAAAGTCCACAGTGGCCCCACTCTCCAGAAGCTTCTCCAGGATCTCCATGTGGCCCTCCAGGGAAGCTCGGTGCAGTGCTGTCCGGCGGAACTGTCCCCAGAGAGATTGTTAGGGCCTGACCTCTGTCCCCAAGCCCATTTCTTACCCAAGCTGAGACCAGGCCTTATCCCAGCTCGATTCCGCCCCCTGTGCTAGGTCCCCACATCTTCCATATTATGCCAGCTCCTCATGCTCTACCCAGACCAGCCTTGGAGCCCTCCTATGACCTAGAGACCCCAACCTTCTCACTATTCCCAAACACCTCAAGCAAGGCCTTTGCACAGGCTGTTCCCTGTGCCAGAATACCCATTGCGCCCTCATTTTCTGTGAGTGCTTGATGAATTCTTGCTATTCCTTCAAGATGCAGCCCAAATGCCATCATCTTCTTGAAACCTCTAGGCCAGAGGTGTCCTGGAGACCCAGATACCCTCCACCATGAGAGAGTGTTTGAGGGCAGGCTGAGTCTTACTTGCCTCTCTTTCCTCTGAGTGCCTAGCCCAGGGCAGGTACACCCTGATTTCTGATTCAAGGAAGGAATGAACTTCCTCCCTTCCTAATGCAGTCGTCTGCTTCAGTCTCTTGAATCATCAGTCTCCCAGCTACTTTTAACCTTTGTCTTTTTCTTTTTTTGTACTCCCAGTACCTAGCAAAGTGCTCAGAGGTAGGAGGTGCTTAGAACAAGATTAAAATCCTGGAGTCTAGAGAATAGAAAGGACTGTAGTCTAAGCCTACAATAATGCAGGCTTGAAGGGGATGACCATTTATTTGCTTTATCCTAGGATATGGGAGCACCCTACAAAGTGAGAAAGGCTGTTTCAAGGAAACCAAAAAAAAGTATGATGAGTGATGGAAATATTTTGAAAATAGTGGTGATGTTTTCACAACAGTAGACGTGTAAGCAAAGCCACTGAACTGCACAGTTAAAATGGCTAAAATAGTGAGGTATAGAATCAAAATAATTTTAAAAGGAAGTATGTCATACAAGAAGACACGAAAATATCATATCCTGGCATGTGCTTTATAGTTTTCTCATTCATTCAATAAATACTTATAGAGGCACTAATATGCTGCTTGATCTGCATAACATGCTCTGATGGAAGCAGGCTGTTTTACAGAGGAATAAACTGAGGCATGGAGAGGTGACTGCACCCAGCCACAGGTCACATAGCTAAGGAGTGGTAGAGATGGGATTCAAGCCCCAAACTCTTGGTCTTGGACTCTTTTTATGATTCTTTTTCTCTTTCTTACCTGAAAAAACATATGACAATTATTATTCTGGAGGGGGTTCAAATTAAAAAGTGTCTAAGGATTTAGATAAATTCCTATGTTGGAAAGGGACATCCCAAATCTTCTGAGGGCCCCCCTCCCTTAGGACACCCAATGCCTGTTCTCAAACAGACTCACAAATGGGTGGGGTGGGGGTGACAACCCTGAAAGGGAAGCAAGCGCAGGTGCTGGTGGGATCATCACCTGATCGCAGGTATCTGGGGAACCCCCGTCGGCCAGGAACTTCTCAATGACCTTCATTTTTCCTTCTACCGCGGCTTTCAGGAATGTCTCCTCGCTCACAGCACCGGTCTGTAGGGTGTGAATGCCGTCACAGAGGGCACTCCGCAGTGATCCAGGCCATCTCCAGCTCCCCCTGCCCACACAGGTGTCCTCCCCAGGAGCTTACAATCTCCTCGGGTTCTGCAGGCGGCTCCTGCTGGGCGGCCGCGGCTTCTCGCTTCTTCTGCTTTCGTTTTTTCCGAAGCTCGATCAGGTTCTGGATCCCACCCACATCGATGATTTCCCTCCGCAGGTCTAGGGATGTCTTGCGCACACGCTCTTGGCCCTGCGCATGGATGGCGGGTTAAGCCCCACCCCCGGGGGGGCTTGGGGACCCCTGAGCTAAGCTGGAGAGGGAGAATGGGGGAGCTTCTCAAGAGGGAAAGAATCTAAGTCTAGCCGTCCTTCTCAAGACTAGGAGAAGCAGACGAGACCCAGGCACAGATGGCTCAAATCAGGAGCAAGGGAGG